ACAAATGTCGAGAATGGCCGAAATGTACATTTTTACAACTTTTTTTTTCCAAAAGGTATTCAAAAGAGTATAAAATGCTCCACGGACTCTGCAAAACAAAAGCGGATACTATAATGGAGGATACTATTTACGGCTGGAATACATTTGGTGGTTTACTTTTCAACGTAAGATATTTAACGAAGAAGGATAATCACAATAATAAATATGTATGTATAATTATAATAATTCTATATGTAAAATTTATTTTTAGGTATCTCAATCCTGTGAACGAATGTTGCTTCAGTGCACTTTCGGTGGTTATAAATTCAATTGCTCGCAAATATTTCGTCAAGTTCTAAGGGATGAGGGGATCTGTTGCACTTTCAATAGTCTGGATCCTGTCTTTCAATTTGTCAATGGGTCAGTTTGTTTTGAAGAAGTTTGCAAGAATATAGATACGCTGTACATTTATTTATTTGTATTTATAATTATTTCATTTACATTTTCCATTTGTTTATTGACACAGCTCCAAAGCATTTGGCTTTAACGTAAAATATCCGCCTGAATTCAAACCAGTGGCTTGGAGTTTGGAAAAGGGCTATCAGCAGCCTTTACCCAAATATTATTATCCCATGAGGGCGGTTGGTATTGGCCAATCACTCGGATTAAATATCATTCTAAATGTAGAAAGCGATGAGTATTATTGCTCGTCAGGAAATAGTATTGGCTTCAAAATAGCCGTACATGATCCGCACGAAGAGCCAACCGTACACGAAACGGGTGTATTGCTATCGGCTGGTTTTGAAACTGTAGTACGCATTACGCCTCGTAAATTAATTTCAGCAGACAAATTGCGTCAGTTGGATGTGAAAAGAAGGAATTGCATATTTGAAAATGAGTACAACTTAACATTCTTTGCACATTATACCGCTGATAATTGTATATACGAGTGTATAGTGGAAAATATGCGATCGCGTTGCGGTTGTGAGCCTTTCTATTTGACTTCATACAATTCGAAACTGGCAATTTGCACCCAAAAACATAGCGATTGTTTCGTAAATATTAAAGCAAGTAGAACTTGTGATAAATGTTGGCCCAACTGCGTTCGGAAGCGATACAGTACGAGTACATATTCAGCTAAGCTCGAAGATACTGGAATAGATATAAATAGTCCAATACTTAGTAACATGAGTATTGCTTATGTGCAGGATAATATTGCTATTGCGAAATTTTACTTTAAACAAGGTGTGTATGAGTGTACGAAGCAGGCGCCTTACTTCGGTTCGATTGATGTACTGTGTAAGTAGAAAGTATTCTTATGTATTTTTTTTACGTATGCAGTTTTATAGCCCATTAAATTTTAGTCGAATAATGTGCAAATTTCAAATCTCTAAAAAATCGCCTTGGTTTTTGAGAATTTTTTTTTTCGGACTGCCCTACGCATTTTTTCCATATAAAAAAATTTCAGATTTTTTATTTTTTTTTAATGAGAAAAAAAACAAATGCGTGGGACAGCATTCTCAAAAATCAATGCGAAAAAAGTTGAAACGACTAAAGAGCAGAACCCTCCTCACACATGGGCCAAGAATAGTAGCGGGAAATTCGTGACGTCTCAGCTTGCTTAATTTTTTGGCAACAATATAACAAGAAGTTTTGGATTTTTTTTATCGAAAAACCTTCCAGAAGATCCAAAAAAGTACTTTTTGCAGAATTGAAATCGGTTCAGCCGTCAGTACACGTGGTTCAAAGTTATGCCGTAACATACATGAAATAAAAGCTTGTAAAAATATCTATTCCGAAGAATTGATAAACTACCTACTTTTTTGAAGTCGGTTAAAAATAGAATAAGTTCCCAAAAATTAAATGAAATAAAATTCAAAATTTAAAGAAAATTAAATTAAAATGGGAAAAAATTTAATAATTTTCGTTGTTAGTGTTTCCGACAGGGAAGGAGTATTTGTATTTCGGAACGATTTTCCGTTATCCCTTGTCAAATTTGGTGTGGACACAAACCGGTTTCGGCGTTGTGCCATCTGCAGTGTAATTTTTCGTACGAAAAATATAAATAAAAGTAAAAAAAATTTATACGTTTATAAAAATTAAATGAAAGTAAGTTCTTTTTCTTTTTAAAGCAATAAAATCAAAGAATTGAAAAAATTTAATTTAAAAAAATACATCAAATAAGTTTCCAAAAATGAAATCAAGTTAAAAAAAATTTAAGGAAAACATTTAAAATTGCGTTTAAGGAATAGAACAGGTAATCAATTCCTTTGCTGTGGACTGAAGGAAGATGCGTTCTATATAAGGCAAATTTGAAGTGCGAAATTGAAATAAAATCACTTATCAAAATGTATCAAAAGTATGTAGATACTAAGTTATTTATGTATAAATATAAACATATGTAAAAGCACATATTTACTTCTCAAGCCAAGATTGAGTACTTACACCAATCCCTTTTATATTTTTCCAGCCAGCATTGGTGGTCTCATATCCATTTTCTTCGGCTTCAGTTTCATTTCGTTGGCCGAATTCATCTATTACATCTGCATGCGCCCGTTGCGTTCGATGATTTCAGAGAAACGTTCGGAAAAGGAAGTTTTTTTGCGCAAACCATGTCTACGATTAGCTAATCGACCCAAAACACGTTTTGTGAATCCTTACAAGCAACCGTCGTACAAATTAAAAACACAGAAGAGCCTCGCTTTACCACGAAAAGTGTGGCACATCAATGCTGGCAACCTTAGTTTGCCAAATCCAAATGGAGAACAAATGCAGTAGAAAGAAACCAAATCTAAATTTATCAATAATTACTTAGCAGCACTAATCACATAGCTTGTCCTTGAAATGAATATCCTTGCACTCGAATATGCTGAGTACTTAGCAAAGAGTGTACACAAAGCAACAGTAAATGTCAACTTATATTGATGATATCGCGTTTGTTTGTCAAATTCTAATATTTATCCTGTAAAATATTTAAGCCGAGCATGGCACTGCACAGAAGGAAGCGCGGAAGGAGGGTTACACAGGAGTTTCATCAAGTTTTAACAGTCATGGGTACGTATGTATGTACATACGTTCAGTCAAAATATACCAAGCCATATACTTAAATACGTATGGATGGGCATTAGGGTGATCCAAACTAACTATTTATTAAGACGAAAATTCTCCTATTTGAACCAATTTGTATTACAATTTTAAAAGGTGTCAGTGGGCAATTTCTTGTAGGACATTAAATTCTCAAAAAAGAATTGTCTTAGAGTCGATTGTATAGACTCAAAAATGTATATTCTTACAGGCATTGAAAGTCGAAAAAAGCAGAAATATGCAGTTTTAAGGCTTTATGATTGGAAACTTTCTTGCTAAATGAAGAAACTTACACTAAAATGATACAAAATAAGTAGAAAATTATTTCGAACTAGATTTGTCAGAGAAGAAAGAGTTTTAATCCATTTCTTAATTGGTATTGCATTTTTATGCATAAATTATTATTTTTGTGTTATTAATAAAATTCAGTTTACTCCAATTGTTTTTCGTCTTTCGTCAAAGTTCGATTATAATTTTACATCAACGCTATACCTTGTATAGCAATATCATAGCATACATATTTAATACACTTAATCGTCGCTAACCCAACAAAATTGAGAGAATTTAATGCTCTACAAGATTATGCCTAGAAACAAATTGCATCTCAAACGGTGCAATAGTTATAACATTTTTAATGAAAAAAAAAATGTTCATGTTATTTACATGGAAAATTTCAAATGCCCCAATGGAGAATTTTATTCTCTGTAAATAGGTCCTTTTAACACCGTAGATTCGTTAGGTTAGTTATTTTGGATCACCCTAATGTGCATACATATGTATGTATGAAAATTTACTATTCGAATCGCATGTTCGCAAACATTTTGCACACTTACTATAACTGATTTTGTATTTGCTCTCAGTCAACATGATTTTTGATGCCTCAACAGTTATTTAACTTTTTAATGCCTGACATACATACATACATACATACATATTTATGTACATACATACATACACTCATGGATATATGGTGTTTAAAATATAGCAACGCTAAAGCACTTAATTACATTTAGGAATTGGCAGCTTTTGACGCAACATGAAAATTTACGCAGAAGATCGCTTGGTCCAGTTGAAACCAAAATTCACTGCAGAAAAATCGAAACCTTTTGGTAATTTGTTAAAAAAGTGCCACTGGAAAATACATATGCTCTAAGCATTTAAATGTAATTTTTAGCTCGTCCAAAGGAAAAGAGCAGCGACTGCTCGAGCGAGGAAATTGAATTTGAACATCTCTGTTCTAAGCAGGCCGCAAAGAAGAGCCTAAAATATTATTTGCAAAATACAACATTGCATGGCTTAAAGTATATTGCCGAAGATAAAATAACATTGCCCGAAAGGTGAGTGTCTTTGTGTAGCAATATTTATGTGATCAGAAGCAATAACCGCCTAGGTCGACTTAAGAAAAAATTTAATTGTATATTCTGCAACTACTATTCCATGCGTTTGTGACACCTCCATCTTGCTAGCTAGGCTTTTTAAAAAGTTGTAGACGAAAATATTTTGGTATCGTCATAAGGTTAACTTTAAAATCCAAATGTTTAAAACGTTTTTTCTCGAATTCAGGTTTTTCGACTTAGGCGATTATTGCTTATTACAATAGATTTGCATTTAACTTTTTTGTATTAACCTAAGTACATATATAAGTAAAATATAGTCCACGATGCTTTTGGCAAATTTTTCTATAGTGGTGAAGTTTAGAAAATTTTAAGGAAATACTTTTCATTTGACCAATTCCAATACATACAAATGTTTATACAATTTTATATTTTCTACCCTAGAAAGGTACAAAAACTCGCCTACTTCGTACTTTAAGTACCGCATTACAAAAACGCTTTTAGACGAAATATGAGCTGGTAGCAGATAGGATTTCATATCATTGCTTTAAGATTTACATATCCGGATTTTTATTTGGCTTTTCGTTATTCGAGTTAGACTGGTTCGATTAAAGTTGTATTAAGCCGAATACAAAGCTCGCGACTCCTTACTTCTCTGTTTGAGAAGGGCTTTTGCAACAACGGCTTTCATTAACTGGTAAGGTATTGCCATACTTGGCCTAGTAGACGATCCTAAGACACTCGCTTTACCATGAATCCAAGGCCAGAATCGTAACATCCGTTCACGGATAGAAAACCACATGAAAGAAAATTACGCGACACGTCAGCCGTATAAGCCGAATGGGATTTAAGAAAAATGTGTTTTTACGTGACGAGTAATACGATATGGTATGTGACGATTCCAGCCTAGTTAGTTACCAAGAAAGCCACAGTATTTCGGAATCCACATCAATTGAAGGTTATTACATTCTGGCACGCTGTTTAGTACTGAAGAATTCTAACTTTTTCCAAGTCAGCTACCTTGAGCTAGCAATACTTACGATTGAAAAACTATTGCGCGACTCCAGACATCAGCTTGTCGCTTGTGGCCAAAAACAAAGGGTATTGTTTTGAAAATATTATAAGAACTGCAAAAAGTGGATGAATTTAATAGGAAATGATGTGCAATGTCTAATGAAGGGAGCTAATCCCAAACTTCGAGCTTTGGCGTACTCCAAAACCAAATAAGCAAATAAGTACTTAGATTAGCATTTGAAGGCTCATAGTTATACACTCTCAGAATACAATTTTTTTTTTGTTACTAGTCAATAAATTTGGACTTTGTACCAATTTTTTACCGATCAGTTTTTTTTTTCGTATACACACCTTACGTAGTTCGTTAACCAAACCACGAAAGTCACTGAAAAAATAGGCAGTGTTAACATTGTTTTCTTAAATGTTTATTTTTAAAGAAGCAGTCCATTATAAGGGGACGGCGGCTACAGGGATACCTTATAAGACGCTAAAACTTTTTCACTTCGCGGTGAACGAAATTTATTTTATACGGTACCAGAACGCGGAGTATTTATTGCGGAAGACTTTTCCAGGCCGTTTGATTTTTCAATTAAGGGATTTCTGTTGGCGCGAGATCGCCCGATCTGACGTCCCCTGAGTCTGAGTTTTCTGAGGTAAGACGTTTTCGAACTTCCTGCCGAGATAGGCCGACCTTCTACTCAGCAGGCAATATGCTACTAAAAGGGTAATAGGATTTGAATTTTTTTGACAGCAAAGAAAAATCGTATGATAGTTTTTGCGCCGCTCTGTACTTATATTCTTACAAGTGTCTCGATTGATGCCTCATTCGTTATTTCCACTGACTAATATTTTTAACGTTTTACTATTGTTCGTTCCAGAGCATTTTTCGGTTTTGCATTTATTGCTGTAATTATATTATCCTCTTACTTCATTTCTAACATCTACATGAAATGGTCCGTTACACCGATAATAATTTCGACAAGCGCCAAAGAAACGCTAGCTAGTGATGTTCCCTTTCCTGCTGTAACGATTTGTAATCTCAACCAGGCATCAAAGAGCAAAGTACAAGGCATTGCTGAGTAAGAATGCATTAATTCATAAAAAATATATAAATATTTGCTTATATATATATGTATGTATGTAGATATACCCTGCAAAAATTATGGGACTATTCTATAAAGAGAGTAGTGCATTAGCAAATAATGTGACTATAACCAGGGTTGCGAAAAAAAATACTTACCATCCACTTGAAAAAAAATCTACCAAATCTGGAATATATCTACCAATAACTTTTTTTAGTTAGTTTAACAAAATCTATACTTCTATTCCGATTTTTAGTTATTTCCAAAAAAAAAAATTAAATTTTTTATTAAGGAACTTTTTATTTAATTATGATATGGTATTTGAGATCATATTAAGGGCTTCGTGTCTCTCTCTCAAATCTCTCAAATTAATATATTAATCTCAAATTACGGCAATTGGATGGCTGACTGTACTGGGTACACGTATTGTACTTGAAAATTATTAAAACCTGAAATTGAGTACAATCATTTCTGAATACCGGTAAATTAAAATAGAACTTAGTACTTTTAAGCAACTATTCGACACTTTATAGTGAGTACATTGAATCAGTCCTGAGTACATGTGTCAAAGTGATGAATGGAATAGGGTATTTTTTTGTACTGAGTACTTTCGAGTTCTTCTAAGCATGATAAAAATATAGCAAGGTAGAACCGTTCTCTCAGTTTGTCGGCCATGATTTTTTTTGAAGTTTGCCTACATTTTAAAATCATATAAAAGTAAAAAGAAAAAAAATGAAACTGTTCAAAATTGTTGTTGCTTGAGATTGAAAATGAAAATGTGTGTGTGAATTTGTGAGTAAATTTAAAAATTAAATTGTTTGGAAACGTCAAGAATTTTAAAAGTAACTCTCAGCGGTTCTACCTTACTATATTTTTATCATGCTTCTAAGTTCGTAGCACTTTGAGTTCTTTTGTGAGTACTGAGTGCTTTGAAGTATCCAGTACCGATACTTTTGAAAATCGGATACAGACCATCCTTTTGAGAATCCAGTTCAGAGTACTTTCGGTTTTTACACTGCCCAACACTAATAAACATTAAGTGCTCCAGCTAGCTTAAAAAGAAAATAACAATTAAAAAAACTTCGGCTAAAGCTCGAATTTTTTACTCTGAATTTGGGTATACAGTTTTATAGCCCATGGAATTTTAGTATAACTAGCAATGTGCAAAAAAAAAGTTTTTTCTTAACAGCGGTCGTCCCTCGGCAGGCAATGGCAAACCTCCGAGTGTATTTTTTCCATGAAAAACAGCTTCTCATAAAAATACAATCGCCGTTCGGAATCGGCGTAAAACTGTAGGTCCCTCCGCTTTGTGTGACAACATCAAGGCGCACGCCACAAATCGGAGGAGAAGCTCGGCAAAACACTAACATATGTGTAAGCGCCAATCTATTATTATTATTAACAATGCGTATTTAAAAAATTCCGCTGCTTTTTTTTAAAATTGTGTGGTTTTTTATTTAACAATTGCCATTTTTCATATTAAGATAACCACGCAAAATAAAGCGGGAACGAAAAGTTTTATTGGTTTTCAAACCAAATACTTTAACAAAAATCTACCAAAATGAAAAGAAAATTACTATTTTAGCAACCCAAATTTTTTCTACCAATTTTTGGTAATAATTTAAGCACATTTTGAGAGAAACATATTTAGTTGACGTAACTAAACTCTTTTCTCAGTGTATTAGGGTCGTTCTTAAAAAACATGACCAATTGGTGTCCCCAGACTTTACTATTTTATATTTTGTTTCTTCAAAAAGAAAATAGAAAAATATCTGCATTTTTATAAATTATTATCGATTCTACGTAACTATATTATAAAAAAAAAATAATTAATTATCTGAAAATAACTTAAAAAATATTTTCAATGTCAAAGGTTTAGCAAAAACCTGTGTCCCGAGCCAATTTATAAAAATTTAATAGTTATTTTCAGTTGAAATAAAATTGAAAAAAAATAATATTTACAATTTTTGTTATTCAGTTTGTGTATATTAATACCATATATAGAACAGAATGATGAAAAATAATTTTTTTGTATAATTTTTATGAAGAAAATTTGTGTCCCCAGGTTTTGGTCCCCTCTGTTACGTCCACTCATTTTATTGAAAAATGTTTGTTAAACGTTATGACGCGTATATTTCTCTTATGCTTCTCCATCATAACTTAGCTAAAATCAACAAAATGTGTTTTGAACTGTTCAGTCTTGTTTAGTGCGTTGTTGAGTAAGGAACCCAATTGTATGCCGGGTACGTACCCTTATTCAGTGTCAACTCTGTTACTGTTGAAAAACGGTGAGTAAAGTGATTTTTTATTTATTTTATAATTTTTTTATAAATATTTTATGTACATTAATTAAGTGGACAAATAAATTCTCCAAAATTCGAATAAAAAGCTAAAATATGGTATTTTTGAGTTAATTTGTCCCCTCTGTTACCGGTCCACTCTGTGACTTATTAACTCCAAAAACTCCAAAAATTAAAAAAAATACTGCTGGTTATGGATTCCTATTATTGATACCATCCGTAACCACATGAGGCCAATTATAAACATATTTGGCCAACTTAATTTTTAAAAATTACAAAATTCAGAATGGTCATGTTTTTTAAGAACGACCCATTAGCTTAAGAAATATTAAGTTGGTATAGAAAACACAGAAATTGTCAAGCAGGCCCGAGTTGTACGGTTCGAACTTTTATGATTTTATTGTATTAAATAAAAAAAAAACCTACTATCGCTCTTCTTGTAGCGATTTCTTGTAGTTATCTCTTCGTAATACACGCTCGAACAAACGAGAACACTTCATTCCATATAAAAGGCCAAAAGTAGAATTAGTCGCAAGCTCCTTTGTGGTTTAGTCGCCTTTTTTGCAGGGTATCCAATGTAAATACTGTAATGACAAACATTTACATACGTACTTGTGTAGAAAAAATTTAAATTATTCACTGCTAATGAGTCTTTGCGGACAGAACGAGAGGGGCGAATGGTATAATGTACGCGGTACTTGGAGAAATTTCAAGGCCATACTGAACGCGGTAATTCGAAATGAAAGTTCGTTGGTCTCGTTTCTATTCTTCATAATTTGTAGGTTGCTCAACCGTGCGAAGAAATGCTCTTGTACTGCAGCTTCGGCGCAAAACGGGAAAATTGTTCGGCCATCTTTAATTCGGCATTAACCGATGATGGACTGTGTTGCACTTTTAATGCTTTGGATCCATATTTTATGCTGCGTAATTATAGGTAAGTGAAAGCTAAAAAGGTAACATTTGATTACATTGAACCCACTAAATAATAGCAAGCGCCTCTGCACACTCAGCTTCAGCCGGGTTTAGGTTCAGATAGAATAAAAAAAATTTACCTTTTGCAAATTCGAAAAGATGCCAGAAATAAAAATTGTTTCGGAAAAACGCACGGAAGCCAAACTAACAGTTTCATTGCTTTACCGCAAATAAACATTATTTTAAGCTTTTGAAACCAAAAAGTTACAAAGTAGGGGATGCTTAAGGTATGCCACGCGCCGTAATGCGGTAAAGTCTTAAATTTGTCAACGTAAAATAACGTTTAACATGTTCTTAGGACATTTGCAGACACATTAAAATATTTGGAAACTATTATTTTATACAGCAAAATTTTACAACTTTAAGACATTGCACTATAGGATAATTGGTAAATTTGTTTGGCAAAAATTAATTATGGCCAAACAAGTAGATAATTTAAAAAAAAAAACAGTTCGTAAATTTTTCCAAACAAAAAAAAAAACTTAAACCTTGACGTCCAAAATGGTCTAAAGTGATCAATATTTTATTTGTGGTTTTATAGAAAAAGTTTGAATGCAGTTTTTTCTAAATATTTTTTTATTAAATTATTGGTGGAAATTGGTTTTGACAGAAAGCACTTGAGCATGTTCCAAATGGAGATGTACATACATATATCATTTTATTATTCGCGCTACTACAAAGAGCAAAGCACTGGCGAGCCATTCCAGAGACCCGAGACCTAAAAAGCGGAATTTGTTTCGTATTCTTTAACTCATTAATTTTGTCTTTTTATTTTTAGTAAAATTTTAAGATTTTGTTGTTATAAAAAGATATAAAAAGATTTATATTTAATTTTTAGAAACTTGTATTTTGTGTTTTTTCTTTTTAGATATATTTAGTTTTTCTTTTATAATTTATGTTTCTTTAAGTTTTTAGATTTTATTTGTTTAAACAGATTTTTTTTTTTAAATTTAAAATAATTTGTAGAAAAAGTTTTTTCGGTTTTTTAATATAATTTTTTCTGTTTTCAATCGATTTTTAGGTTATATTGTCATAAACATACATTTTTAAATTTCACTAATTTTTAGAAACTTAAGTATATTTTTTTAATTAGTTATTTAAATTTTTTTCTAATTTCATTTTCTCGAAATTTAAAATTTTTTTTTTTAAAAGGAAGATATTTTTTCACTTAATTTCATTTTTGGAAACAAAAACAATTTATGTTTTTCTCTTTTTTATTGACTTTTTTGTTTTATTTAATTTTCTTTTAATTATTAGCTTTTATTATTATAAAACGACTTTTAATTTAATTAAATTTTTAGAAATGTATTTAGCTTATTTTTTCTCTTTTTTAAATTTATTTCTCGCTTTTTTTAATTCGCCTTAAAATGCATATATTTTTTTTTAATTTGATATAATTTTTAGAAAAGTTATTGCCAAAAGACAAATAGAAGAAAGCTACGACCTCCCAGTTAGCAGATCTTTCAATTAGTCTTTCGAAAGACAGAAAAGAGATTTCAAGATACATACATAGTTCCCGGAATTGGCTGTGGTGAGTTAATGTTAGTTTTTACTTAATTTTTAATATAATGACAATTGTACTATAAAATATGTAAAGTCTCATTGCACTAATGAAAAATTAATCAATGAATCAATGAGTTGAAAAAGTTGCCAGAACTTCCTTGTTAACAGGCAGCAAAAAAACGAGCATCTAATTTGTTTCGGTTTACTGAATTTGTTTTCTTTTTAATATAAAAGAGATACTCGATATACGTAGCTAACGGTATTTTTTTGGAAAAATGCACAAATAGCATTAATATTTAGTTGGGTTGAGAATAATCATAGTTTCTCACGAACCAATTAAGAAGAATATATAGGATGATTCAGTATTGTTTCATGCGCTGTGTGGAAAGTGGCACCGTCCATGTCCTCTCATCAAGGAGATGAAAAGTTTATCATGATAAGGTTTACGGTTCAACGTATCAGCGTTGCCGGCATCATTTTCGAAGGAGTATGGTCCGATGACTCCGCCAGCCCAAAACCGACACCCAATAGTGACTCGTTATAGGCGCATAATTTTTTCTGCAAGGGTGCAGTCTTGCTCGTTGACGTATCCGTTAGATAAAAATGTGCTTTATCGCTCACTATGATTTTTTCGAAAAATCGGCATTAACGTTTTTATCACTTTTACGGGTTCTTCAACTGAGTATCGCTCCATGACTAAGTTTACCAAAGCCTGTAATTGTCTTAAAAAAATATACTTATGTAAAATATTAACGTATCACAAATAATTGCTTTCAAAGATCTGCATCACCCTTTTATCACCCTATATCATACCTCTCATACCGACGATACTCTTTATCGTTGCTAATTCTTCAAGCAGTTCTGTTAACATTTAAGGTACATCTTATTTTATGTAACACTCAAAAACTTATTCAACCTTTAAAAAATGTATGTATGTCCAGTTACAATTAGGGAGTTCACAAGGTGTTGCATACTGTCGCATTGTAGTATGTCGTAAACTTTGAAAGCTTATATAAATGTCTGGAGGACTTGAAACTACAATCAACTATTTTTTAACACTGTGAAAATTCATAAAATGACTTTTATGCTATCTTGCAACGATCTTTACATATTTTGAACCGTTTAAAGTTTACGACAACAGACAACACCTTGTGAACTCCCTAAATGACGCCTTGTGAATCACCCAATTGTAAAATGTTTTTTGTTTTTTTTTTCTGTACACTCAAGCGAGGATGATCGCATCTCGCCGAAATCTTCGAACCATTTGGTACCCATATACTGGACGCCAGAAAGAGGTTACGCTGGTGATTTGCCTAAAAACTTCTACCCACGTATGCCTGGTGGCACCGGAAGTCGTTTAGGTTTGACTGTTGTTTTGAACTCTTCTGCCTTGGAGTATTACTGCACAAAATCTAAAAGCATCGGATTTAAGGTAAGTCTTGAGTAGAAAATAAATTTCCCCAGTCCCGTAAAAAATTGTTCATTCAACATCCTCATAAGATTCTGGTACATAATCCCGCCGAGCTGCCAAGGGTTAGCAATTATGGTTTCCTAGTGACGGCCGGACGTGAAGCTCGTGTACCCATTGAGCCCATCTATGAGAACGCTGTGCCCTCAATACGCGCCATACACAAGGAGCGTCGTCGTTGCCTCTTCTCCGATGAGGGCGATTTAACCTATTACCGAACGTACTCGCGCAGGAATTGCGAAATTGAGTGCGAGGCGAAAATTTTAATTGACAAATGTGATTGTGTACTCTACTATTTGCCTCGCATTAATGGCTCAGCGCGCATTTGTGGGCCCAACGACAACGCGTGCACGAATGAGGTGCTGACGAAAATCGAATCGTTAGATAAGAAATTGACTTGCTCCAGTTGTTGGCCAGCATGCTTTGAATTGAGCTACAAAGCAATGGTCACTGCGACCACCATTACGCCGGGAAAATTCTTAACCTTTGATGACCTGCCGCTTGATCTATTCAGCGATGCCACCAACTACGCAGAGATATCTATAGTTAATTTTTATTATCTATCGCATATACTACGCACCACAACTAAGTCGGAAATGTTTGGATTTACAGATTTTGTTTGTACGTTTTTTCGAACTAAATTTAATTTTCTTGTTTTTTAAATGGTGCTAACAAAATTTTTCTTATTTCCTATGCATAGCTAGCACTGGTGGAATTTTGGGCCTATTTATGGGATTCAGCGTTTTCTCAATCATCGAAATTATTTATTACGTCACTTTACGTCCATACTGTGCTAGCCGCACCGTGGATGTGTCACGTCGTCGTCGCCGCCATAAGCACATGAAAGTAATTTTTTTTAGTACTTCTTTTTCGGCGTTGCGCATATTTCCTTGATTAATGAAATAATTCATCGTTTCAGTGGTTGCATAGCATTAAATGCAGAGTCCGACCGGGAAAATATGATGGCAGCTCAAGGTTCTGGCAGAATGATACGGAACAAACGAAGGCTATCAAGCATAAAAATTATCGAAATAATTTAAATCATATTTTACTGCATCATAAAAATAACCAACTTAATAATAATGATGATGGCGCACAACTGTATCCCTATTTGGAGTGAAGGCGAAATTACAAAAGGGCAAAAATATGGATGATCCATAATTAATTTAGAGCATAAAAATTTGTTTTTCCTAAGCACCCAAACAATGTATGCACTGATGTTTTGGTAAATGTTTGTTTGCCGTGTTGTAGTGGAAATGTTTTGCATAAGTAAATTTTGCTTAAGTAAGTAAACATAAAATAAATTGTTCTCACAGCTTTCTGCACCATAAAATAATTCACTTTGGATGTTTTTAAATTATGTGGTTATGATTACCTATATCAAAAGATTTATTTTTCTTGATTTTGAAACCATGACTGAATTGAGTTAGATAAAATTGATTAGGTTGGATTTATTATCTTAATAAGCTGCATATATATGTATGTATTTTGGAAAAAAGATCCACTAAGAATATTAATGGTTTCATCTTCATAATGTCTATGTATGGTTAAACATTTGACGCTCACATTTCTGTAAACTGTTTTGTCATCTGAGGTGATTTTTTTCAAAAATTTCTTTAAGAAACTATTTTGATCCATTTTTAGAGGTATTTCTAAATTAATTATTATTAAAAGCCTTATGATCCGATCTGGCTTATATTCGATAAATGTATTGGTATCGTAACGGGAAATATTTATGCGAAGAAATTTGCGCGCCAAGTGTCTCGGGAGTCGAACTATTCCTAAAAAAGGCTCATATTTGAGATTTATATACATATATTGGAAAGGATAATACTATTACAAAACAGAGACGCCGGGTGGTACTGGAGTCAAGTTATTACTAAAAATCCTCAAGTGAGAAAAAGTGCCGTGAATGTCGATTACATCTGCATCCTGTACGGCCGAGTATTTATGTCGATCTCCTACGAGTACCGATTGGCCCAATGGACGTGAATTGCCAATATTACTGTGGGTTAAAGCTTCATTCGAAGACACCAGGATTGAGTTGTCCAGGGGTCAATCTCAAATGACCCCCGTTAAATCAACCATTAGAACCATTGATCTCCTTAATAAGGCATTTAGGGTATTTCGACTGAAATAAGTCTATTGCATATTGGATTTCTGTAGAGCAACGATACTCATCCACCTACTTTACTATACAGTTTCAAGGAGAGATTCACAAAAGAACCGGATCATTGTTGCTGCCAGGGACTGAAGAGAAAAAGTTCTTTCATTGTGCGATTAATCGAGCTGTGCAATGCCAATGAATTTCAGAACTTCATGGATATACACTTTGGTTAGGTTATTCAAGACGGCAATGTAAATATGCCTTCTGACAACCACCAAACCGTAATCGTGAACGTGAATTGTTGGGGAAAATGTTGCACCAAAGTGTTTTACAGTTCGCCGGGTCTGCTAGTTTATATGTATAAAATTTTTTAAACAAAATAATACGAGTATTCCTTTTTTTCCATTTAGAAAAATCGTACGGTGTGAGAGTTTAGCATTTAAAATTTTGTTTGAACCACCCCAATGGACTGAATTATGTTAGTTTAGTGAATCATTTAAGTAGTTTTGTTCACACAATTAATTGGTTTCTTTATATGGAAATAGTAAAAAAACTACCACCCAAAATACATACATGAACTTAATTAAATTGTAATTTAAATTACTACAATCGCCAATTAATTTCTGAGTACAGAAAAAAATATACGAAAGTTTTGCGTTTTACGCATCAAAAATTTATCAAAAGTAAAATTTATTAATGAATAATTACCTGGTATTTTTGGGTGTGCTATTTACTGTAGACGAAAATAAACTTAGGGGACTCAAAATAATGACATTGATGCTATTTTTGGAAAGTTTTTAATAAACGTTTTATAGAAAATTAAGAAAATTAGTCATATTTTGTCCCACTTTCGTGTTCAAGGTACCATAGGAAACGTTGGTACTTGCTCCCATTTTAAGTCACATTTAATTATTACTGAAGCAACTCAGTGAGAGCGAAGAAAAAAATGTTTATTGGTCCAAAAAGTAGTGGGTAGGTACTGTGGGTAATGGTACATCAGTCGGAGACCGCAAAAAACTCCGGAAGCATTGTCTGGAGGATGCGCCAGACTACGCCGAGTATGCTTTGAAGTGCCTACAATGAGGCGATTTAAAAAAAAACGTTCAATTGATGCTGGTTGCATTTTTTGAAAATGAAACGAAAAAGCAGACAGTTTCTAACTTGTTTGCCAAAGCCACTTCTAAATCTTCAAGGTAAACTTTGACTAGATTTCCTGCTTTTAGTTAAATTTCACCGGGTTCCATGGATGTCAGATTAATAAAAAATCCAAATCCATTCGCAAGCAGATATTCTGTTAGTCAATGATGAGATCAATTGGTCCAAGACTGGAAGATAAGCAATCACTCGAGATTTTCCCGTGATGATTGTTCTAGAGTAGGCTGTTTTCCATAATCGAGCTTTTTTTTATTCGTCCTGGGTTTATTCTTGAATAACGCGTTGTTTTCAATTTTGCACGTACACTCTGCTGGCTTCACCTTACAATCGGATTCGGATATATTTCAAGGTCTTCATATAACCAATGCTTAAACAAAGTTCAAATCATTCATTTGCTGCTAATTCTGGAGTCATCCTACACGAATTGAACATTTTTAATGGATCCTTTTTGTATAGCGCTTCATTCATCAGCTTTTTCTTTAAGGTTGTGAGAGGTGACGAATCTATTTAAAAACTACTTAGATACATATCATTCCGATATAATACATTACCCTGCATTGTTGGCATATACTGGCTGTACATAAGTATGTACATATGTCTGGGAGTATAAATGTATGTATATCTACATATAATGGTATACCATATACATATGTATATGTACATAAATACAAAATTTTGCAACCATATTGTTCCATTTTGGTCACAGCGTTGGCCATGGCTTTCAAAACAATGCACCAGTGATATTATCGCCTGTCAAATCGAAATTGACACCCAATTAGTGAGTATGCCATAGTAATAGTTACGCAGCTTTGATTAGAAAGTTTTCCACTCTGTATGAGCATACATATGTACATACATACATCAGCGCTTAAGGTGAAGGGAAAGGCCGCACAAAAGCTCAAACGCTAAGGAATCCAAAGTGGTTAGCAAACAGCTTGAATACTTGCTATATGCATGCATGTACATACACTAGTTTATATATAAATGAAAATACATATGTATGTACGGGTAAACTGCATGTACATTAGGGTGGCCCAACTTTTTTACCAGCCACCATCCAGAGTTGAAGAATATCGAAAAGAAGGAGAGCCGTTTTTTTATACCCGAGCGCACTTGTGCACAAGGGTATAATACCTTTGTTCACATAACTGTCCGTCCGTCTGTGCAGACGATAACTCGAGTAAAAATTGAGATATCTTAACGAAACTTGGTACGTGCACTTCTTTGGGGAGTAGGACGGATGGTATTGAAAATGGGAAAAATCGGACAATAACGACGCCCACATCCCATATAACGGTAATTTAAAGAAATACGAAATCTTTGATAAATCAGTATTTATATAGCGAAAAATACGTTTGTGATAAAATTTTGGAAAATGGAAAGAAATGACTTATAACTACATATATAAATTTATCTCATTAAGTCTAAATGAGGGGTAAACCCTTAGCATGTACGGTAGTTTTCGTAAAGGTAAAAACTACTCCGCCCGAACTTAGATTTTTGTACTTGCCGGTTAATATTTAACCGTGTCGACGGTGCTTTGAAATTTTCCATATATATATTAATGATAAAAATAGAAAACATTTTTTTTAGATCCGTTTTATTTTTAATCCGCTTCAGAATTCTTAAAAACAAAATTACGATGCATATTTATTCAATTTCAAAATTTTACTAACAACTTTTTCAAAACCGCTAATGTTGGACCGTGTTCTTCTTCTCGTACCAATCGAAAATCGTCAAATTTTCCTATCACTTTCTATACAAAAATTTAAAATTTTCCATTCGTACGAAAACAAGAAGTACGCCTCCTTATATAATGTTTTACAAGTATCTTATGTGTCCGTAAGCAAATCACACACATTAGAAAAAAAAGTTATTAAAATTTAAGTGTGCGTCATAATTTTATTTCTTTTATATTTCTTATTCAAAAAATATATATACATATATTTATTTTCAACGATGCTATAGCAATTTTGCGAAAAAACCGCAAAAGCTGCACCGTTAAATATTATTATTGATTTTCCGGTGGTATTTTTTTGACCACCCGAATGTATGCACACAATTACATATGTTAAAATGTACCTATATTCGGTTAATCTGTCATATTTAATGTATGTACATATGCATGTATGCCATTGTGACCTTATCGAATCGGCGAAATCTCTCTGAAAATAGCCGCCACTTATGTATGTATTTATTGTATGCTCATCACGTGCGCCATTAGCCTTAAATGTAGAATTGTGGAAATAGTAATGAGCTAGCAACCTAATATTTCATAAAAAGTTTTCAATTATTATTTACATATGTTTAAAATGGTTTATTAGATCTTTTCACTAAATTTACGAGTTCATAAATATGTTCGAAGGTTATTCTGATTATGAACGTTATCGCTCTAGTTATGCATTCTAGGCAACGTCTCTATTTTTCCCCAAAAATCTACATCGACTACTGTGGTTCTGACGGCCTCAAATCCGGCGAATATTTATCATAATCGTAAGTTGAATTGCCACCAAAATCCTTTGCCAGAACGTTCAAAGTAAAAGTATTTAGGTCTGTTTCCATTGTTTCATGGTAGAAAATTGTTCGTCATTTCAATGCCTAGTGGAAATTCGGCGTTAGCGAATTTTCTTTCGTAAATCATTTTTTCAGTTTCTTTATTTTTGTAATTTACTCAAATATCTAAGCATACGTATTTTCGGCTGCTATTATTTTAGGCTCTAGCATAAGAGGATGGTTTATTCATTTGTGCATACATACATACATACGTACATATGTGCATGATATGTAACTAAGTAATTGCCTGCAAGTACTGACGAGCACACACTTTTCCTCAATTCTCGGCAGGTAGGCTGCTATTT